AGCTCTTTCTAAAAAAGCTGGCCAGCGGGCAGTTGTTGTCGGTCACGGAGACAGCATTTTGCATGTTCCCGTATTTTTGAGGTCGTGAACTGCGATTTTCTTAGTGAAAATTAAATAATGCCATTATTCGCGAAGAAAGCTATTGGTCGGAAACAAAGGGATGGGGACATTGGCTGTGCGATCGGAGGACTCGAGAAGGAGTTTTCGGGATAGGGAATTGATGGTAGGGCGGGTAATCTGGACATTAGTCATCCGTCTTAACAATTACGTGCTAATAGTTGGCCCATTTGGCAGTTACCATGGTTTCTTGGTTTGGAGAAAGTGGTTTTTTCAAGTCGTGAAATATATGTATACGTGCTGCAAGTCCAGGCGCCTGATCAAACAGATTTGGGTGATGGTCTTCCGTTTTGCATGGTTTTCCCATTTGTGGCGAAATTCCTCCCTTCTTTATGAATATGTCGAAAGAATTCACTTTTTACATCATCCTTTCGAATCCCGATGCGATCAGGCTAGCAGCCAGGGAGGCCTGTGGCAGCGCAGAAGATGTGTGCACAATCTGGATTACGCTTGTTTTATTCCGGAAGACTGATGCATGCAGAATCAATGAGCTATCGTAGCTCCCCTCTGTTTGGAGCTTATTTTGATCGCTTTAACAACTTTCCGGGGGGAGAAATGCAGAATTTTACTATGGCAACCAGCAACCAGCTCTCTGATCATCGATTTTGCGCCACACGTCCTGAAGATGCAGCAGTAGCAGCAGCTCTAAGACATTCTGGAATCTCTGCCCGCTTGCAGTTTCCGCTTATCCCTTAACTATTGACATCGCATATCTTCTAGCTAACCAAGCACTAATGGCTGTGCAATCATCAGGCCTATGCTATTAGCATATACTATTAGTATTTGGTGCAGTACTCAATTTTGTTATTTCTCAGCAGTTCGCCGGTCCTTCCACACTTTTTTGCAGTAAATTTGCTTTCTTCTAAATCAAGCATTCCGTGTTGTAACTCATCGCTGTCCCCTTGATTTTGTAGCCCCAATTCAAATTTGATGCCCTATTAGCGACAAATCTGTCATTTTTGCCGTCCAACAATATTTTCACCCTCCTTGGACTGTTTTCTGGCATTGCTATTGCAGGAGAGCGAGCGTTTTTTTTTGCAGCTCACCAGTACATACCGTTATCAGCGATAACATTATCAGTAGTGGTGTTTTCCGGTGGCGTATTTATATCATTGACATTTTCAAGAAAACGATGATCGTCGCTGTTTTGTGTTTCGCTTTCTTCTCATCCCTTCAGCCGTCCTCTCCTCCACTGTCCCGGCTGCACCCATGAACGCCCGTCTCGTGCAAAATTCGATCGGAAAAATCCAACGAGGGGAGCAATATTGAACCGCAACGGGGTAAACTTTAATGGGATTATGAAGAAACACCTTAGAGGTGTTAATTTGCTAGAAACATCAAAAACTGAATTTAAAATCGTTGAATTCGGTGCTGAAAGACGAAATGTGGATGTGCAAGGAAGATGGCATGTGGTACCACATCAACTGATGATACATTTGGCTTTGGAAAATGACTGCGGTTGAGAGACATCGAGTTGGGGACGCGCGTTTTGATTGTTTATCCAGAATCACAGATTTCTTATATGTGCTTGTGCTAACGCAATAATTGGCCGGGGATTTGCCATAGCTCTTGGGGAATAATACTTTCGGGCAATCCGGAGCACAATAACAAAGCAAGGTGAAAACAGAGAATGACTGAGAAAATTATTATTTTAGGCCAGAAGATATTTTTGGGTCGTTAAAAAAAAAAAACGAAGATTTTGAGTGTTTCAAACGAAAAAGAGGATTTTAGCACCTGTGCTGTTTTAGTACAAA